AGGGGGGCACAGGGAGCAGGGAGGAGGAGGAGGAAGAGGAGGAGGAGGAGGGGAGTCAGAAATGAGCTCCAGTATAAATCCACGGGGCGGTTGTGAACGGAGCCTGGCGGAGAAGGGGAGATGAGAGGTGGGAGGGAAGTAAGAGGATTAGGAGGATGAGGAGGAAGTAGAAGAAGGAAGAAGAGGAGGTGTGAAGTAGAAGAAGAAATCAGGAAGAGGATGAGATGACGCCCGTGGGCCGCCTGTGCCACCGCCCCTCGGAGCGACATTCTCTCGCATCCTGATGCAGGGAGCTACTGGCTTTTGGTAATAACCTTGCTCGTCCTGACATTCTCCTGGTCATCCTGATCATCCTAGTCCACGTCGGACCATTCCTCCTCATCCTTGCTCCGTCCTCCTCATCGCCATTATCCTTATCATGATTCTCTTCCTCCGCATCCTCCTCATCGCCTCGCCCTCGGCTGGGGCCCGAAGCTGGCCGGGAGGCAGGGGGGCAGGCCCGACTCGTTCTTGGATGGTCGACTCCTGCCTGTTATGGCCTGGCAGATCTATTTGGGGTGGCCGGTTCACATGTTCCGACTGGTTTTTTCTTGTCCGAATACAGGTGGCCTAATTTGTGTATTTGTTGTCAGTCGTTTTTTCTTGTCAGCGGTTCGACCCTCATTTACTCATTCTGGCAACGCGTTGGACTCTTGATCACCGTGTTCCAACAAACGGGGAGACGTCTTTGAGATGCTCCTGCAAACAGCTGCTTCTTTTTTGGCAGTTTGACTTTTGGTGTCGGCTGTTTGATTGTTATTTCGGATGCTCTGAACAGAAAGGACGACATGGGTTGGTGTTCGGGCCAAAAGTGTGACTCTTGTTTAGGGGGGAACTCTGATTCGGGGTTTTTCAGCAAAGCAGGTCGGATCAATGTGTCTCTTTTTTCTGGGGTGATTCTTAATCTGGGTGTCCCGGCAAACCAATGCAATTCTACTCATTGGAGGGTCGATCCAGTATTAATTTGAAGTGATCCGTTAAAACAGGTCGGAAGAGTGTGATTCTTCATTGGGGGATTAGCTCTTGCTTAGGATGCTCCGGCAAACGGTTGGCTCTGAATCTGGGATGTTTCGGAACATCCATTCGGACGGGTGTGATTCTTAATTTGGGTGTTCTGGCAAACCAGTTCCATTTGCTTCATTTCCAGCGGTTCCTGTTATTCACTGGGGAGGGGGGCAGGGTCGGTTCAGTATTTTGCAGGGCCCAGCAAATCTGAGTCGTAGGGCGGGGGCTCTGGGTCCTGGAGGCATGAGTCCGTATTGGCCGTTGGGGGCGGAAGGAGAAGGGGCGACGCAGGAAAGAGGATGAGAATGAGGATGAAGAGAGAGAACGGGTCGGGTGTTGCTAGAAGTGCCCGAGGTGTTCCCAGGATTTCCAAAGAGGCCTCCACGGTCTTCAGAGCACCCCTCACGAGGTCCAGAGGGCCCCAGGGGCTCCAAAATTTTGAAAAGCTGGGGGCAAGAAGGGCCTTCGGCCAGGGGCCAGGGGCACCTTTAGTAATCCCCGACCGGGTGGGCAACAAGAGGATGGGGGAAGAGAGGATGTAGGAGGACGAGGACCAGGGAACGGAAGATGAGGAGGAGGGGGGGTACCCAGGAGGACCTCAGAAGAATGAGGGTAGGGATGATGATGATGATGATGATGATGATGATGATGATGTGGTGATGCTGATGATGATGATGATGATGCTAATGCTGCTGATGATGATTGTGATAGAGATGATGATGCGGATGATGATGACGCTGATGATGATGATGATGATGGTGGTGATGATGATGATGATGATGATGATGATGGTAACGATGATGCTCATGTCAATGATGATGACGATGATGTTGATGATGCTGATGGTGATGACGATGATGATGCTGATGGTGATGATGGTGTTGATGATGTTGGTGCTGACGATTATGATCATGATAATGATGCGGATGATTATAATGATGATGATGATGATGATGATGATGATGATGATGATGATGATGATGATGGTGATGGTGATGATGGTGATGGCGAGGAAGAAGAGGAGGGGGAGGAGGACAAATAATAATTGGGAGTGGGAAGGGGGATAATGGCGGACGGAGAGGACAATGGAAGAAGAGGAGGAGGAGGGACAGTATTGTGCGATTCCAAGCTCAATTCTTATTGGTCGATTCTTTTGGGGGAACGCTTCTCTTGTTGGCGTGTTTTGTTCGGCTCTATCCTGATTTTACACGTCGGTCTTTAGACATTTGTATTTCTGGATTCCCCAAACCCAACCTACGTACGTCAAGCCCTTTCTTACCAAGAAACGATATGCTTTGGTTGTTGTTTGCTATTCTTTGGGTGGCCAACCCAAGATATTTCGTCCTCCTTCCTACCTCATGTTTTTACTTTTTCTTCCGACCGGCATGCAGTTCTTCCTGTTCGCTGACACAATTCAGTTCGGTAGCCACCGGACAAAGCCACCCACGAACACCTCAAGTACAGACCCTCCTGGCGGAGGCCGGGAGGGCGTCGACACCATGCTGGGGCCCAGGATGGCCCTGGCCTGCCACGGTGGTGGTGTACAGATGCTTCCTGCGTGCCCGTCGGTCGTTGGAAGTAGGCATCTCTGGAATTCCAGATCCCACTCTGCTTCAAGCGCCTTTTCTACTTCAAGAATCGATGTGTGGCTGTTGTTTGTTGGTTACTCTTCGGGCGGGCCTGAACCCGATCTACTTGATCCGTCTTCCTGCTTTCCTGTTTTTGCCTGCTTCTTCCAACCGACGTGTCCAGATGCATCCTGCGCGTGGTACGTCAGGAGGGAAGCAAAACACACAATGAATCGTCGATTCCCAGGAAAGTATGCAAAATGAGGGAAGACAGGGGGAAGACAAACACCCAGAAAATAAGGGAAAACACAAGGGGGATCCTGGGATTTGTGTGTATCTATGTTTGTGTGTCCCTGGGCCCGCTCAGTATGCTAGGGGGCCACATGCGAACCCTACCCCTACCCCCCAGGATTTCTGAGGGGGAGGGTGGGGTTCACTTTGTTCGGGAGCTCCCGAACGAAGTGAACCCCACCCTCCCCCTCAGAAATCGTGGGGGGTAGGTGTAGGGTTCGCACGTGGCCCCCTACATGCTGCTTCCTGCCCTCCGAGAAAGGTCGCCTTCCATCGCACGTCGAGCAGCGTGTCGCCGGCAGGGCCCCCGGCCAGGGAGCCCTCTGCCGGCCAGGCCGGCGGGTCGCACCGGACGTCGCCGGCGACGCAGGGCCCCGAGCCCTCCGGCATGCAGGCCGTGGTCCTAGCCGAGTCCGGGGCGACGACGGCGCAGCAGGACTGTCCTCTCAAAAGAAGAGCAGTCTGCACCAAGACACTTTCATCATCATCACCATCATCGTCGTCGTCATCACCATCAACATCATCATAATCAACATCATCATCGTCGTCATCATCATCAGTATCAACATCATCATCAACATCATCATCATGTTCTGCATCTTCATCATCATCCGCATTGTCATGATCATCATCATCAGCATCATCAGCATCATCATGATGACCGTTACCACGATCGCAAACATCTTTATCAGTCTCATTAACTTCATCACCATAATCACTATCATTTTCACTATCAGCATAAATACCAATAACATCATCATCATCATCATCATCATCATCATCATCATCATCATCATCGTCACTATCATCATCATCATCATCGCCATCATCATCATCATCATCATCATCATCATCATCATCATCATCACCATTATCACTTTCATCCTTACATCTTTATCATCCTTACCCTCCTGCTCATCCTCCTCCTAATCACCATCATTGTCATCATCATCATTTTAATCACATCCCTCGTCACCGCCATCGTGCTCATCATCATCACCATCATCACCATCATCACCATCGTCTTCTGCATCATCATCATCATCATCGTCACCATCACTACCACCATCATCCTCCTCATCATCCTCATCATCATCAGCATCATCATCATCTTCATCATCATGACCATCATCATCACAAGCACCATCGCCATCATCATCATCAGCATCATCACACTCACCATCACCATCTTCATCACCACCACCATGACCATCACCATCGTCAGCAACATCATCACCATCGTCAAGACCACATCCCCGACCCCTGCGCGAATGCCTTCGGTCTGCGCTGGGGTCCTCTTTGCGGCGCCTCCGGCGCCGCCCCTGGCGCGCTCCACGCGACAGGGAGGGAGGCCCAGCGCGGATCCAAGACAGCCGCGTGGACCTCCAACTTGGTATCGCTCGGACGTGTGCACTTTTTTCTCGGCGGGGATCATTGAGGAGCATCCTGGAACATCCTGCGAACAAAACCAGGCACGAAACCGAAACAAAATACAGGGAGTGGACGTCCGAGCGATGGGCTGGCCGAGCGTCTATATTGGAGAGGCCTGACGGCCGGTGCCGCCGACCCTGATCGAAAGGGCTGGGAGTGGGGGGAGGAAGCGGAGGATGAGGAGGAGGAGGAGGAGAAGGAGAAGAAGAAGGAGGAGGAGCAGGAGGAGCAGGAGGAGGAGGAGGAGAAGGAGGAAGAGGAGGAGGAGGAGGAGGAGGAGGAGGAGGAGGAGGAGGAGGTGCAGCCTCTGCGTGCCCGCTCGCAGAAGAAGTGCGCCCCGGGAGCCGGCCGAGCGTCTGTGTCTTCCTGCGGGGCCCGCTCCCTCCATGGTCGGGCCACGAGCGGCGAGCCTGTCCACGTCCGCGCCCTCGCGGCCCCGGGCTCCGGGGGGCGCGATCCCGTGGAGCGCGCCGTCGCGCCTTCACCAGCAGTGGGCGCAGCGTCCTGGCTCGCCCACGGGCCCTACACCCACAGGCGATGCTTAAGAAGAGCTAAGGTTTCGTCCAGAGTCTCGATGATTCTTGACTTGTCCATGTGAGTCCCAAGATTTTGATAGAGGTTCTGGGTTTTCTTCCAGTTCTGGGACTGTGGATTTCTGAGCCCATGGTTTCTTAAGCGTTTCGCAGGGTGTACCCTACACTGCTCTGAGAGCCTCTTGTGGTTTCCACGACATGTTCTTACAACATTTCTGGCGCAGCCTGCCTTGTTTTATCACCTCGGGGTTCTGCTCCAAGAACCTCGTTTCTGCTCTCAGAACATCTTCGAGTTCTAATAAACATCTCGTGGCAGGACTATAAGAAGGCCGGGGCGGTCGGTCCCTGCTCAACACTCGGTGCTGGTCGCGCGGGGGGGGGGGCATCCGCAATAGAGGCGCCCCGTCCGTGTCCACGGGGCCTGCGGCCCAGGGGCCGAGCCCGCGGCGAGGCTGCGAGCCCACGCCTCCGACGTCTCGATGTATCTTTGAGCGTGGGGCACCCGGGGCCTCTCGGCCCCTTGCCTGGCACGGGCTCTTCGTCCTGGCTCGTGGTGTTTGGCAGTTCCAGGGTCCGGCATCGCCCTCCGGAGGCTGGAAGCGGAGACAAGCATCAGGCTCTATATGTTTGAGTCTCTGGAGGTTTGGGGCCTGGATATGTTTTCCGCCAACGGTCGGGCGGACGGAACGGGGGGGGGGCATGGGCGGGGGCGGCGAGACTGAGGCGCACCATTTCCAGCACCTGCTGTCGGGGCCGCGGCGGCAGTGGACAGGGTCCACTCTCGGGGCCACTGCTCTGCAAATCTCGATGCCCCTCCCCCCTCCCCCGTTTGCTGCCCTTCCCGTCGACGTCCGCCCGAAGGCCTCGGGCCCGTGCTACGTGATGCCGTCACCGCAGAACCAACGGACCCCGGGGAAGAACAAGCGGCGCAGGCATGAGCTTTCGGAGGTTTGCGCGGGTTTCTTATGTCGGCGTTGGAGCTCTCTCTGGCGCGCGGGGCGCGCCAGGGGCGGCGCCGGAGGCGCCACCAGGGAGACTCCTCGAGCTGTAAGAGGCAAAAGTCAATGCAAACGGGGGTCAGCCAGAGCGCTGGATCTTGCAGGACCCTGCAGAGCCAGCGCCGCATTGACCCGGGCTTGCGTGTAGGATCTTGCCGGATCCTGCAGGATTGCGCAGGATCTTGCAAAGCCTGGCTGACCCTGGTTTGCATTGACCCAGGTCAGTAGATCCCCGAACTCCAGCGCCGATTCGATCCGGAGGCGCCTCGGCGCGCGCGCGCGCCAGGTGGCCCCAGCGCCGACCCAAGAACTCCGCGGAGACCTCCGACCGTTTACCAGCCAGAAACGCATCCCTATCCCGAATGACTGACATCTCCCGACCTCGGTGACGATCTTGAGGATCCCGTCAGATTCTGAGGGCACATCCCGAAGACTGTCATCGCCTTGGGCTTGCCGATCCCAGGGATAGGGATAAGTTCGGAGCTGGTTGACCTTTCTGTTCATGCAGTGGTTGCTTCCGCTACAGGCGCACGCCTTCCCTGTCGCCGCAGATCCCTCTGGCGCACTTGCATGGCTACAGCGCCAGCTCCATCGACGCCCTCGACGGCGACAAGAGCATGATGGTGTGCAGGCACTGGAAGTCGAAGGGCTGGTGCCGGCTGGAGGGCGGGTGCAAGTTCCTGCACCCGGACAGCAAGGCCGCCCAAACGGAGTCGGAGCAGCATCGCGTGTACAGGGCCAGGGGAGTGCTTATCGGCCTCTTGGAATGGTTAAGGGGCTCTCCCTCCCCCGCCGCCGCGCAGAATCTTTCGATCCCTCGCGTGAGCTGGCGCTTTTCTAGGCAATGTGATGCACTTTGCGATGTATCCATGGCGCGATCCCATCGCGCTGCGTCGCCGATACATCGGCGCTGCGGTTTCATCGGGAGCCGGACCTTTGCCATCCCACCATCGCCAATGCATAAGTGCGCGATCCGCAGCCCCCATCAATTCCAGGCTGACGGTGTGCCACGCTGGCAGCCCGCGTAATCAGCGGCGTAAGGTCGCTATGTCTCAGGAGGGGAAAAATCACAGACACAATCAATCGTCGATCTCTCAGAAAATATGGGAACATATGGGAAGTGGAGGGGAAAGACAGAGCCCCAGAAGATATGGGAAAATATGGGGAATCCTTTTATTTGTGTGTATTCATTTGTGTGTCCTGGGGCCCCTTCAGTGTCTTCTCGCGTCAGGCCCTTCTGTGTTCTTCGCTCACTCCAGGTATCCGACGCCATGCTCTGCCAGGGCGCGGCCCCAGAGAGGCCCCGACCCCTTGCCCGTGGTCTGTCTTTTCGCCCCGGATCCGAAGGATTGCAAAAAAAAACCCTGGATTGCAAAAAAACCTAGGATTGCAAACAAACCCTGGATTGCAATCCTTCGTTCGATTTTTTTTTGTTTGCAATCTTTCGTTTTTTTTTTTTTTGTTTTTTTTTTTGCAATCCTTCGTTCTGATGGCCCAGGGGCCCGACCGCGCGCCCTGGAGACGGGAGTCGAGGAACCGCGCCGAGAGCCTCAGAGAGGCGAGAACCGGCCGGGGCGGCGCAGGCCCCCAAGGGAGGCCCCAAAAGACGGCATCGGTATATATTCCAGATTTCGTAATAAAGGGAGGGGGGTCTCATTTCGGGGGGGGGTCTCTTCCAGGCCATCTTGGAGGGCCTGGGGGGGTCTGGGGGCGATGTCTTGGAGGGTTCTCCCACGGGGGGGGTCTAAAACTTCTCGTCTGGGAGGGTGGAGACCCCCTCCCTTTTATTACGAAATCTGGAGTGTCAATATCTTTTCCTCTTCTGATCCTCCTCCGCCCCTGCTTCCAAAGTCAACCCCCTGTCCTCTTTCTTCTGACCATGCCCCTCATCAGGCTCGTGCCGCTCCTGGGGCCGCTTCCGCTACCGCTCACTCAGCAGATCGTTGGAGATCTGTGTGCGCACCGATCCTGAGCCCAGGAATCCATTCAAAGTCGGTCCCTGGACCCCTCCTGGGGTCCGGACGCAACTCGGAAAACCCATGGGTTTTCCGAGTTGCGTCCGGCCGTGGCGGCGAGGGCCTCCCCGAAGGCAATTTTTGGGGGGAAACCGGAAGGTACCGATACTGCTTCTCCCCGGACCTTTCCCGGGGTGCGTTCTGACCAGAGTCTCGAGTCGACCCCAGCGGTTGCGACGAGGGCATCCGAAGGAGCCAACCAAGAGGGGAAAGCGAGGCAAGTTTGGCTGTCTGGGTACATTTGGGTTCCGGCTGTCTCAACTCGCCATCTTCGTCTCGGCGCGAACGACATGGGCACAGAAAGAATGGGTACAATGCCCCACAGCAGTTCCTGTTCATTTGAAGAGGACTCGCTGTCTGTGTCGCCGCGGCCTGTGTACATTTGAGACAGAAGGCCGCCTGCCCAGCAGCGGCCGCTGTTGGCTTTGGACAACACTTGCTGTTTGCCATTGGGCCTAGTTTTTCCGTACCCATCTCGGGCGTCCAAAAATCTGAAAGAACAAAAAAACACCAAAAGAGGAGGAGGAGGAGGAGGAGGAGGAGGAGGAGGAGGAGACGGAGGAGGAGGAGGAGACGGAGGAGGAGGGAGGGAGAGGAGGAGGAGGAGGAGGAGGAGGAGGAGGAGGAGGAGGAGGAGGAGGAGGAGGAGGAGGAGGGAGACGGAGGAGGAGAGAGGGGAGGGGGGGAGGAGAGGAGGGAGGAGGAGGGGAGGAGGAGGAGGGCGCCCAAATCCTCGGTGCCCTGGGCTCCGAGCGCCCCCATCCAGGACAGCAAGCGGGGCACCGGCGTGCCCCCGAAGCGCGGCGGCGGCGCGGGCGGCCGGGAGGGCGCCGGCCCGGCCGGCGAGGGCACGCCCCCGGGCGGCGGGGCGGCGGCCGCGGCGGGGGAGAGCACGCGGAGCTCGGGCACGAGGTCCAGGCGCGGGGGGGCGGGGGGGAGCGGGTGTAAAACGACGCGAAGATCGGGACAAAATCGGATCGGGATAACTCGAAATCTCTGAGAATCGGCGGGTTTGGAGGATGTATTGGGCGCCGCGGCCGCTCCAGAGCGTTCCGGAACGCTCTGAGAGCGCTCCGGAACGCTCTGGAGCGATTTATCCCGATCCTAGCCCTGTTTTAGGGTGCGCGGGGAAGGCGTGGCGGCGCAGGCACGAATAAAGTCCAGGCGGGCCTCAGGTCGGGGCCCTGAACTTTTGGTCGCGATCCTGGTCTGTTCGGGGGCCACGCGCGAACCCTAATTACCCCCACCCCCCACCATTTCGGAGGGGGGGGGAGGGGTTCACTTCGCTCGGGAGCTCTCGAACGAAGTGAACCCCACCCTCCCCCTCAGAAATCGTGGGGGGTAGAGGTAGGGTTCGCATGTGGCCCCCTATCTGTTTCGGGCCGGACGAAAAGGGGGCATGGGGGAAGGGGGGGGTACGAGATCTGCTGCGTGCAGCTGGTTTCGGCCCCACCGAGGGGCCCATGCCTCGATGCGTGGAGGCGCTGGGAAAATCAGCTATACGTGAGCTGATTCTCACCCCCCCCCCTTTGCTATCCCCCCCTTTCGCCCGGCCCGACTGTTGCGCGACATTGAGCTCTTCACGACCATTAGTTTGTTCGCGACTTCGCGACCATATGCATGTCTCGCGGCCCTCAGCTTGCTCGAGGGGGTGGGCCTCCCAACAGATGAGGGGCAGCAGGTTTTCGCCCAATACCTCCCCCACCCTTAACGTTTCTTGTCCGAGGTGGCCGTCCCCCCCGCGGTGGAAGTCGAAGCAGCGCAGGCATGGATGAAGGCGCGTGGATCAGCGACGGTCCCTCTGAGATCTGGGCGTGGTAGTTTTTGCTACACAAGGCGTTTTCGCCCTGTGTCGGTTCTATACAAGCACGGTGCGGGGATCGAGGAAGCGCAGACATGGTTTGACAAGGCGCGTAGACCTAGCGACCCAGCATGCTCGCGTCGTGGCGAAGGGCCCTCGCAAGGACCCAGGCCAGTCAAACGACGACTCGGGAAGAAAAGCCAGTCCTGGGGAATCGGTCGAGTCATCCGCGGGTCGGCGCATTGAGACAATCATGGTATCGCATGTTTGGGCAGGTCGCGCACGATGTCCAGGCTCTGTGCGATCGAAGTCGTTACGAAAAGTGAGGAAGAGCAGGAATTGCTTAGGGCCCTGAGATATCAGCGTTGCAAGTTTGCCGCAACGGACAATTTCGCTTTGTTTCGGGCCCCAGGTCCGTCACAGATCGGTGCGGCTCGAAGCATGCTGGAGATCCATAGATCCGTAATTCATGTCAGCGCGTGCTGGCGGAAAAATTGGTGCGTTGTCCTCTTGAGACAGGAAATCGCCTGCCCAACAGCGGCCGCTGTCGGTTTGGGTCCGTCGAATAGCTCGTTTCGCTACTGTGGTGGTTAACGCGCACTATATAATATGCACTGCACCCGAGCGCTCGTGCATATCTCAGGTTGCCATCGGGGAAGGCACAATGGGCGATATTGGCACACACATATATGGTCGATGTTGTGTTTCCATTCTGGGACCCCCTCTGGAAATGTGTGTGTGGGGGAGAGATCAACACACACATATGGCGAACAGTGTGGTTCCCATGTTGGCTGATGGGCACCGTGCCCACCTCTTGTTCGGCACCCGCCTGCTTGCCCACAGGCGATCCGGCAGGGGCAGGAACAACCGAGGCCAGAACGCCAGCGGCGCCGCCGGCCCGGACGAGGGCCACTGGAGGGAGGCAACTACACACCCACACTCGAAGAGCCAAGAAAACAGCATAAGCATAGATGTTCGACGGTCCGCGCGGATTTCTTGGGTCGGCGCCGGGCCCCCCTTGGCGGCGCCTCCAGCGCCGCCCCGGGCGCGCTCCGCGCGCCAAGGAGGGAGGCGCACGGAGGACCGAACGTTTGTGTTTCTGCAGTTTGGGCTGTCTTTTTCTAGACCTCTCCTGGCCAGGCCGATCTTGGGCCGTGGAGCCAGCTTGGGGCGGAGGTGGCCCAGCACTGGCTCGGGCAAGCAGGCAGGGGTGAGGAAGGGGGCCACTCGTCGCCACGGCTGGACGCGGCTCGGACAACGAATCAGTTTCGACACTGGGAGGGGCCTGGGGGGAGGAGGAGGAGGAGGAGGAGGAGGAGGAGGAGGAGGAGGAGGAGGAGGAGGAGGAGGAGGAGGAGGAGGAGGAGGAGGAGCCCGGTTTTGAGCTAATTTGCCCTCGTCACCTTTCTTGACCGAGGCTTTCTGGGCTCGGCCGGCACAGGCCCCACAGGAGGGCCGTGTCCTTCTCGGGCCCAAGGTCGGCGCACTTTTGTCCTGGCCGTGCCGGTCAGGACGTGCGCACCGGACCCGGGGCCAGGATTTTCCTGGCCAGGATCGGTGCTGGCGTATATCGGGGGCGGAAAAGAGGGGGGTGATGACTAGGGGGGGGGGGATCTCATGGCGTGGGCCATGATACTTCCCCAGATTTCATGGCTCCTCTTCTTGTTTCATTACGTCCCTGGCCCCCCCGTCGGGCCGCGCACATGCCGCCGGTCATGATTTGCAGCCCCCCCTCTTAGACACCCCCCTCTTTGCCGCCCCCGAGTATAGATGGCGCCCTCCCAGGCCACACGCCTGGCGCTGCTCCAGCGCACGTGCTGACCATGCAGGGGGCGCCACCGAACGGCCCAGGCCGCCACGACGAGGGCGTGCACGACAGGTGAGGGCCGCCGCCGCGGTTCCAGGAGGCGGCCGCGCCAAGACGGTCCAGTATACGGACAGTCTAGTCTCCTCTCAAGAGCAGGATGGGTAGTCTCAGGAGGCTCGAGAGCAGGCTGTGGCCCGCAGGAGCAGGCCAGCAAGCCGCCCTGTCACTCAGGAAGTTTTAAGCACGGCCAGGCTCCCGCAGCACATCAGTCGGTGTAGTGGCTAATCATGCTTCTCCTCCTCCGCCTCCTCCTCCTCCTCCTCATCGCCCCGCCCATGACGTATGACTGCACCTCGAAGGGAATGGGAAGGTCCAGAACACTCTCCAGAGGCCAGCGCGCAGTCAGAAGTCTGCGCCCTGTTTGGCAGGCGTGCTTGCTTATTCTTCTTCTTCTTCTTCTTCTTTTTCTTCTTCTTAATTATTGGAGGGGGGAGCTCTGGGACGTATGTTTGGCTGGTTTTCGGCGCACCCTCCCATTCATCGGGTCGTGGATTGGAAGATGGGGCCTCGAGGGACGGGGCCCCAAGGAAGGGAAAGGACTTCCAGGCTGAGTTTTCGCTGTTCGGGCCATCCCCGCCCTAGAGCCTCAATTCTCTCGGGGACCCATCTCTTCAGTGCCGATCGGAGACACGTGCATCGATCGAGGGAGGAAAACACGCCCCGACCCCTATCACGGTTTCCCCCATGACTGTTTACTAAACGGTTGCGGGCGTTAAATGAATTGCCCTGCCCTGATCGATTCCTTATTTGGGTGCGCTTACTCAAGGACTTCGCATGGAGGGGTGCTCATTATGAGGGTGGTTCATTCGCCCTCTAACCGGGTATCCCAGCCAGGCCGATCCTGGACCCAGACTCGTTGTGATGAATACCCTTCCGAGCCAAGCCAAGTCCAGTACGGTCGGGAAGCTCAAGGATGCCCCTTTCTCCGCAAGCGGAGCCGGAGAATGAGACACGCGCGCCTGTCTGAGAGAAATGGCGGATAGGGCATGGTAAGTTGAAGATAATTCAGATGTTCAGCATATACAGTCGGACCGAAGTATAAGATCGAGGTCGGTTCGGGGAGGGTACCTTACTGTTCTTCGTGTTTGTTGCATGCTTTCGTGCATCCTGGGGAGGGTACCCTCGGATGTTCTGTTTGTTTTGGCAGGGAAGAGGGTCTCATGTTCTTGAGGGATGTTCTTCTGGCCATGTACGCCTGCAACCAGGAAGCGATTTCTCCAAGCGCTGGCACGGGAAACGTCTCCCAGCCAAGCCAGAAGTGCGTAACGTCGAGGCCGCCAAGCCGCAACCAGCGACCCAGACGAGAAATGATATGTTTTGAAGCATCCCTGCTCGACTTGCTTTCAAATCACCTAATCACATTACTCAGGATGCAACTCCTACAACATTCAACTCATGAGCACTGTTATCTCCGTGGTCGACAACAAGCCGAATTCTGCACAACATCGATGGATGCCGTGGAATATCGCTCATTCCTGTTCAAGTGGGCTTTTCTGAGGCACTCCAGCTCAATGGCTCCTCGATCGGGCTTGATGACCCTCCATCCTGCTGGGGAAGACCTCGCAGGATTGCCTCCTGATCTTGCGCCCACACCCCCGACGTTCATACTGTTTTCATAACGTCGACCCCCAGAGGCCTCGACCCATTTCCCTGGACATGCTTTTCATCCCGAGCCGGTCTTTGAAGGTCCCGGGGCCCGTGGAGGGCCCCCGGAGGCCGAGTTGAACTATCGAAAAGACCCCCCCCGATTCTAGGCCTCCCAGATGGGGCCCGAGCAGATGGGGTCGGAGAACCGCGCCGGATCACCGATGCATCGGCGATTGAGTTGTATGTGGAGCCCGTGTTTCCCCCGCGCCGACGTCGCCGGTGCATCGCCGACGGCGCCGATGCATCGCCGACGCATCCTCAAGGCATCGCCGATGCATCGGCGGTGCGGTGCGACCCTCCGACCCCATCTGCTCGGACCCCGTCCAGGAAGCCTCTACCGTTAAGTCGGGCCTGTCCCCCTACAAGGGGATTTTCGGCAAAAAAAAGAGAGAAAATACCCCAAAGATAGTCCAAACATCGTCAAAAACATAGTCTGGGGATTATTTTTCGAGTATTTTTTTCACGTTACCTTTTTGGGGGTATCTTTGAGGTTTTTGTTTTTTTGTCCCTACCTAGGCTCTGCCTAGAAGGGTTCTTACTCTCTTAGCTTAAAGGGGCCGGGCAATGGAAAGCGCCCCGGGCGGTTCCCCCGGTCCCCTGGGAGCGGTTCCCCCCAGTCCCCTGGGAGCTTTAGCTTTAGCTTTAGCTTTAGCTTAGCTTTAGCTTAGCTTTAGCTTAGCTTTAGCTTAGCGTTACTGTTACTACTAATGCTGCCTTCCTAGGGGTTCCAACTCCTAGGTAGGGTCGCACTGGGATAATTTTTTTTTTTCGTCGACAATCCCCCTGGTAGGGGGACAGGCCCGTGCTGGGGCAGGAGCGGCCCCCTCGGCGTGGCGCTCGCGGGGCCCCGCCGCGGCCCCAGTGGGCACGGCCGCCGCCGGTCCGGAGCGCGCGCAGGGAGGGCGCGCGCGCGCGCACGCGGACGCCACGCGGGGTGTCGAAGGCGTGCTGACGTCGGGCCCATCCCGCTGCAAAGACAGCCTGGGGGGATTGGGGGAGGAGGAGGGAGAGGGAAGAGGGAGGAGGAGGAGAGGAGAGGAGAGGAGGGTGAGGAGGAGGAGAGGAGGAGGAGGGAGGGGAGCAGGAGAAGGAGGAGGAGGAGGAGGAGGGAGAGGAGGAGGAGGAGAGAGGAGGAGGAAGGAGGAGGAGAGGAAGGAGGAGGAGAGGAGAGGAGGGAGGAGGAGGAGGGAGGAGATGAGAGGAGGAGGAGGAGAGGAGGGAGGAGAGCGGAGGGGAAAGGAGAGGGGGAGGAAGGAGGAGGAGGAGGAAGTAGGGAAAAGGAGGAGAGGGAGAGGAGGAGGAGGACGGAGGAGGGAGGGGAGGAGGAGAGGAGGGGACGGAGCAGGGAGGAGGGGAGCGGGGAGGGTGCTGGTGCGGCGGCCGCTGACTATCCCCAGCGTGGTCACCAAAATGTCGAGCCTTCCTGCGCCAAAAAGAAACTCCTGGGGTGAGGACTGGTGGTCACATTTGGCCACTTTGTGGGGCATCTAATCTATGTTGGGGGGTGGGGGTTTTCGTTTATTAATTTTCGGTCGCAAGAGCCATCGGCAGTGGACCTGCCCAACCAGTCGTATCCCGGCGGCTGCCTCGCGGACGGGGCCCTCATCGTGTGCGTGTCTTTTTGGCGCGTTGCAATCGCCATCTGTGTGGGGGCGCCCCTAGCCAGAGCTGGCAGGAGAAAGGGAGGCCACTGGCGACGCAGAAAACTACCTGAGAGGAGGAAAAGGGGTCCCCTCCTCCTCCTCCTCCTCCTCCTCCTCCTCCTCCTCATCCTCATCCTCATCCTTCTGCTCCTCCTCCTCGCCCCCCATCCAACTTATCTTGGTGGTGGTGGTGGTGGAAAACAGGCCATTTCTGCTCCTCCTCCTCCTCCTCGCCCCCCTCCGACTTATCTTGGTGGTGGTGGTGGTGGAAAACAGGCCATCATCGGCTGCGGTGCTCGGCGCGTGCAATCTCTATGCGTGGGCGCCCCTCCTCCTCCTCCGCCTCCTCCTCCTCCTCCTCCTCTCCTCCCTCCTACTCCTCCTCCTCCTCCTCCGCCTCCTCCTCCTCCTCCTCCACCTCCTCAAAGTCCCTACAAAGCCCCTACAAAGTTCCATGCGGACGCCCAGGCCCTACAAAGCAAGCACGATCCTGACCTCTTTACACGGATCCGACCTCAACCAGATAGTTCCAAATCACATCCCATGTGCAGTGCCGATCCCCGGCCCCCGCCACCCCCGCCACTCAGCGTACACAGCACAGACCATACTAAGGCGTGTGAAGACCACGTGCGACAGTGTATGAGCACGGCGTTTCCTATACGAGAGACAGCTACAGGGAGACAGCCAAGGCAATCCTGGATTAGCATCGACATTCTGAGCCTTCAGGACGAACAAATATATACTTACGCCTCTCCCGCAATATCCTCCTCTGGGCCAATCGCAACATACTGCGTGTTCTTTTCTTTGCTTGGCAGTGGGCAATTGCATCCATCAGCTTCGAGGCTGACGACACACCAGCCACTGGCCGCTTCCCTAGCCTGCCCGCCTTAGTTTGCCAGGTTCGTTCCCTACACAGTCAATGCCTGCTACTTCCGCAGGCCACAGCGTCGCTACTAAGGAGACAAGCCTACATTAGGGAACGACACTCAGGGAAGGGATCAGGAGGACAAGGATTGGGACGACCCAGGATGTTGGCGCAATGGGGGCACCAAGGGGTATCCGCCATCATCCTACCACCACCATTCCTACCATCAACCTACTTGGACGGGACGGTACAAGGAGGAGATGTGGAGGTATGGAAATATGTCACATACTGCTGGGACTATGCGCATGGAGTGCGCGCCTGTGCGAGTGCCCATCGTGAACTTATTTTGTTTCACACAACTTTGCTCATTCGCCACTCGACAGCTCAAGACGCCCTAAAGCACTACGAAGGACTGGCGTCTAGTGCGGCCGATGCATGGGAACGAAGGAACTACTTTCAGGTTTTTGCCAAGCTACGTGCCATGGGTATCGGATCAGCCAAAAGAGTCAGCACACGTGCATTACCTACTGTAGAACTGGAGGATGGCACAACCGCCTCCGCACACACAGAGTCTGCTAATCGCTGGCTACGCCATTTTGCCGCCGAGGAAATTGGGGTAGTGGTTCTGCTGGAGGATGCAGGCGCCTTTGCACAGACTATCCCTAAGCTCCAGAGTAGTCTCACGAACGACATCGACCCATCGGACGCCTTCCAACCTACCCTGGCAGACTACCCACGAGCGTGCCGCTCAGCCAAGCCCTCAGCAGCCAGCTTAGATGGCATCCCAGGTGCCCTGCTACGCCAGTTGCGCCAGACTTAGGCAACATGTTCCACCCCGCGGTGGTCAAGACATGCCTCAGGATAGAAGAACCACTGCAGTGGAGAGGAGGGAACTACTGGAACACCTGGAAGAAGAAGGCTAACCCAGCCAAGTGCAAACACCATCGCTCGGTCATGATTTCCTCTCAAGTGGGCAAGAATTATCGCCAGCCCATCAGACACCCTCTCGCCAAGGTGCTCCCAACGTTTGCAGGGGGCTCCCAGTTTGGAGGAATTGCAGGCAGAGGAGTAGATATTGCAGCACTTGCGCTCAGATCATTCCAAGAGCTGGCCGCAACATTGCATCAGGCAGCCATGTTTTTCATGCTTGACGCCATCTCTGCACTTTACAGAGCCATCAGAGAGCTGGTCATGCAGGTTGGCACAAGTGACGCCGACCTCCACCTCATCCTGACCACTGCGGGGCTCCCAGCAGGTGCCATTGAGAACCTCAAGGCCCACATTGCCAGTCACCCCACCATCTCGGAGGCCGCTGGAGCACCCCAACATATCAGGGCCCTTGCAGCCTCCAGTGACACAGACAGTTGGTTTTGGTACCCAGGAGCCACAGCAGTTGCATACTCACTGGAGGGAACGGTGCCTGGACAGCAGCTTGGGGATGTGACTTTCAATTTTGTCATGGCAGCATGTATCCAGAAGGCACAGCAATCGCTGCGCGAGCTCGAGCTCGACATCCGCATTCCCATTGCTTTGCATGCGAGCTTAGCCGACCTCTTGCAGCATGCGCCAGACACCCTAAGAGGAGGATTGGGCATATGTTTCTTTGACGACGGGGCTATCATTGTCATTGGCCATGCCCCCATGCTTTTACGCGCAGCACCTCTCGTTGCAGAGGTAGTTGCAGCCAGCTTTGCACGCAGAGGCTTGCGCCTCAACTTTGCAGCGGGCAAAACAGAGGTACTGTTTCAGTTGCGAGGACTTGGAACCAGACTGGCCAAACGAGAACTCTGGCGGGACGGTCAGGGAAAGTTCGAGATACAATCCGACCTACTGGGCACGTTCACACTACATGCAGTACGCACGTACCCACACTTGGGCACACAACTGGATGAGCTGGGATCCCTAGGGGCCGAGTTGGCCCACAGGGAGGACTCTACACGGTCATCTGCCAATCTGCTACGACGGCGCATATTTGGGGCTCCAGTGGATGTCCCTCGAGAGGCCAGACTACACTTTACCGGCGCCCTCCTCTTCTCGGGCCTCCTCTTCAACTCGGGTACTTGGCCACATTTCACTGACGCGCAACATGCGCACATGCAGCGCGTCATGGTGAATAAATATCGCCAGGTGCTCCACCTGCCACAAAAGGATGAAGAGTCAGTTCCGGACAGACTGATCCTTGCTAAGGTAGAGCGAGCGGACCTACGGGCAGTGCTGCGCGTGCATAGGCTACGCTTGCTAGGGCGACTCATGCACCACGGCACACCCGCACTACGCAGTCTGGTTGCACATGTGTATAGGGTTGCACAGGGCAGGCGCACGTCTCGGATGCAAAGAATCATGGAAGATCTGGAGTGGTTACGTACTACATACCACAAATTTCGTGACATGCCCGAGCCAGGCGCACATTTTGCAAGCTGGGAAGACATCATTCAGTCATCTTTGCCAGCTTGGAAGCATGCGCTCAGCAGTGCACTCAGAGCACATGCCATGGCAGCCGTTAGAGCAGCGCTGGCGCAGCAGGCACAAAGCGACTTTTCACGCTTGTTCGGCCAGCGGGCGTGCCTGTGCCCATCACGGATCCCACGCGCCCCATTTACCCCCCCCCCCCCCAAAGTGTTCAATGCCAGCCTACAATGCATGTGGTGCAGTTGTCTTGGCACGTCTGCCAAAAGCACACGACAACACATCGTGCGTGTACACTACAGTGCGGTACACCTAATTTCACGCTTCACGGGGGAGGGAAGTCCATGCATGGCGTGCTCTATGTCATTTGCAGCAAGAAGACAGCTGCGAGATCACATTGCATTTGATGCGCCGCTATGCCAACTAGCGTACATGATGCATGGAGCTGCAGTATCACCGGACAGAGCCGAGGAGTTGCGCCTAGCAGATGCAGTCAGTCATGCGGCTCAGAGAAAGGCAGGACTAGGGCGCTGGCGAGCAGCCTTCCCAGCAGCAGTGCAGTACCCAGAGGACGGACTCTACCCGTCAGCCATGCTGGTAACTGCCACTTTCAGCGCAGATGAAGCCAGGACCCTACTCCAGCAGGCAGCATATGAGATCAGCCCCGATGCTCTCCCAGCCTACCAGGCCCTCTTCGACGACCCCCCCGAGGAGCCTACCCAGGATCAGCCTCTCTACATGGACCGACACTACAAATGCAGATCTCACGACTTTCAAGGGATGGCGGCAGAGTGGATACCTTGCCGCATCCATCGAGCTGAGGTGTTCATTTTGAATTTATTCTCAGGCAAGAGAAGGCAAGGCGACATGCAATTTTGGCTGGACGGCATGTACACACACAGGGACTTGCAGGTATGTGTGCTCAGTGTTGGCATTGCAATCAATCCCATACTAGGGGACCACGCAGGCCAATACTATCCGACAGTGGGGGGAACACATACTATCCAGACGGGCATGGAATACTGGGGGGGGGGGGGGGGGCTGT